ATATGTATATGTGTATATATATAGAGAGACATATATGTGTGTGTGTGTGTAAAGCATTCTCAGGATTAATCTGTAGAAAAAGACAATATGTATAAAGGAAAAAAAAAAACAATGAGAAAAAACTTTATATAGTTATAGCCGACGCGTTTCGTCCACTGCAAAAAGTCCGCAGTGAACGAAACTCGTCAAATATAACTACATACAGTTTTCATTGTCTTTTTTTCCTTTTATGCCCCCTATATATATATATATATATATATATATATATATATATATATATATATATATATATATATTTATATATTTATATATATATATATATATATTTATATATACATATATATAAGTGCGTGAATCTGTGTGTTTGAATTGGGTTAAAATATACATCAAACATCGATTAGAATCCGGCAAACTGATAGGATAAGAAACAAAATAAATTTACCAAATTTTGCTTTTAAATAAGCTTCATCAGAAAATGAAATATGGACGATAAAATTTGAGTATTTTTATTTTTTGGTACTTTGCTTTTCATTTCTTAACCAATGAATAAACAAACAATGCAAAAATAAAAACACCAGAATCTTCTTTTCGCGTCGATATTTCATTTTCTAGCGAAGCTTTTATAAAAGCGACATATGTTAAATTTATAAATGCTTCCTATTTGTTACTTTTCCTATCACACAAACAGGCACACACACATATATTACATATATATAAATATATATATATTTACATTGTAGGAGGCACGGTGGCTTTGGATTGAGGAATCAGAGAGCCGAGTTCGAATTCCAGTCGAATCCATTACATTCACTTACGTGCTAATACCCTTGGCAAAGGTGTGAATCCTCTTCTTCTCCCTCCAGCTATGGGTAAATAGCAGAACAGACTAGGTTCTATAGCCTTGGATGGCAACTGGTCTAGGAGAAGGACAACTCTGAATTCAAAACCTGCGGAGGGTCGTTTGGGGACCTTGTGGCACTTAGTGCACCAGGTCTCTGTATTCGTCCCTTCAAAAAGTGTGGATGGTCCTGCACGAGGCCTTCACCACTATAATAAATTCCCATGTGCTGTTGTCGGGCTGTCGGTTTCCTAGGAACTGATCTGCTTGACCCTCATACGTCGAATTCAACAGGAGGGTCGAGTATATTTACATATACCTATATTATATATATATATATATATATATATATATATATATATATATATATATATATATATATATATATATTCTCTGTATGTATGTATATACATGTATAGTTCAACAGAAGGAAGATATCTGCCTATATCTCGGTGATTAGGTATTATGATTACTTACATTATTCACTTTATTCGGTTTGTTATCCTCATCTTCACTGCCATACTCACAACTTTTCGGCCGTTGTATGCTCCGGCCTTCTTCAGGCGATTGGAATTTCGAATCGAACCCTTTATTTCGTCCACCGGTGTTCCTGAAGAAGGCCGGAGCGTACAACGGCCGAAACGAAATGAAGATGAGGATAAATAATGTAAGAAGCGAAGATATATGCGCTTGGAATATTTTACAGGTGTGTGTTTGGTATGTGCGTTTCAAACCGGCTGGTCCATTCAAGATTATTAGCATTCAGGGTAACCAATTACCAAGGAAAACGCTGGAAAATGAGAGAAAATATCAAAGTCTCATTCATGAGAAGGACGGTCGCCATCATCTCTTTCATATAACTGATATCAAATAAGAGAATTGACATCAAATTTGGAGAAGTCGATCTTCAATGAATACCTTGTAATTATTTATACCAAGGACGCCTATTATGTGGCAATGGTTGTCAAGCTCAGCTCAGACCCATCCACACGTGGAAAAGTTTAGACCTCACTACTATGACCTTCTGCTAACCATTTTGTCAAAAGGTCACGATTAACGGTTAGCTTCCCGATCTGGCAGATAGTTATTAATGGCGAGTGATATCAAGCTCTCCACAGCTTTCCACTCTTTAACATTTAGGAATTGACATGAAAGAGTGGTTTCCTGTTGTCTTCTCCACGGTTTTCAATTCAGAGTTGTTCGTTTAGACTGGTTAATATCCAAGACTTGAAGTCCAGACTTCCATGTTATTTAAACCATAGCCGTTGGGGAGGGTTCTTGTTTTATCACAAGGGCGCTACTGTGAAAATGAATGTAACAGACTTGATCAGAATTTGAACTCTGCTCTCAATCTTTATTTACGCGTTGCTGTATGTACCTTTTTTTTATATTTTTATAATTCCCGACGAATCTCGTGAAATGTTTGCAGCAAAGCATAGAAATAATGTGATAGGTTTAAATCCGGTTGGAGTACACACAGACCCCTGCGCCAATTTACAATATACCGATAATTGGGCATTGACACGGTGTTCTCTGTGGTTGTACATAACGCGATTTTGTAGGAAATGAGGTTGGTAAGAATCGAGATTCGCTATTAAATAAATACGGTTTCCATCTTTCTTCTCTCTTGTTCCTGTTTTGAATAGATTACTATTTTGTGCTAACGGATGCACATACTAAATGCAATAAGTTAACATTGCGCATGCGCATATGCATCACATCCCTGTACATGCACAAATAGATAAAACTACGTGTGTTTGATATCTTCGCGTACGTTGGTGAACAAACAAAAAAGCGTTTATAGCGAAAAGAGAAGAGAAATTCTACATGGTTGTACATAAGGCGATTTGCTCATTTTGTAGGTAATGTGTTTCCTGAGGTTTCCCTATTAAATGAATATGGTTTCTATCTTTTATTCCTTTGTTCTTCTTTTAAATAGATTAATTACTATTTTGTGCAACGTGTCGCCCCCCAAAAAAAAAAAAAAATTTTTTTTTTTAAATCAACATTTAAAAATTTGTTCTCTTTCGGTCCGTAAAAAAAATCATCAGCTGCCTGCGACCCGGAGACTGCAGTTTGCTCACTCCCTGTCTTACGGTATGCCTAGTTTAACACTATCTGGACTTGAACCTGGATAGAAGAGGTGATTTCAGCCATTACGTTGTCTGAGAAGGCATTGCTAGCGATTTCGACAATCACTAGAAACTCATCGAATGTTGTCTTGTGCTATGATTGATTGGTTTGGCTTGGTTTTTGTTTTACGGCATATCAACACCTCAATGGGTCATTTAATGCCGACAACTTTTTTTTCCCAGGTAATATGTTTGTTTTGTCAAAAATCTATTTCTAGTAATATTATTTTCTTCAAAAATGTATAGCTGGTAATATTATTTTAAAAAATGTATTGCTGTTAATATTTTTTTTTCAAAAACGTATTGCTGATAATATTTTTTTTCTTCAAAAATTTATTTCTGGTAATAATTTTTTACAAAGAATTTTTGGTATTAAAACCTATTTTTACACTTTCATAATGCTTTTTACCTCAGGTTCAGGGTTAACTATTTGCCTATAGCTGGGACCCTAACAGGTGCTACCACCCCGTGTCAGGGTGGACCTGGAAACATCAGCAATTAAGAGGTGGTTCCACGCTCCTCAAAACCTCCTGATCAGAGGCCTTGCTGTTGGATGTAGTTTATCGTCTTACCCATGACGCGGATGTAGTTTATCGTCATACACAGGACGGGCTATGGTTGATTTTGTCTAACAAATATATACATTTATTCATACTGGTCTATGATGTATGAGTTGGTAGTTGTAATTTTTGCTTGTCCGGATATAAATGTGTGTATTAAGTTTCGCTTTCTGAGCATGAGACCCGGGTTTGAATCTCACCATGGTCTATTTGTCAGGAGGGGGACTTCTTGATGTTTTCGGACTGAAGGAGACGATCTCAGTGTGTGGCACCTTTGGAAAGTGCCTGAAAACCATACCACAGGTCGACCCAAGCCTCGTGAATGAAACTGGGTAGACAGAACGCTTGGCAGTTGTCGGTAGTTGTGCTAGCACGAAGCTACAAGTCATCGTGACCGATGGTTTGAGCGTGCTTGCCTTATTCAGAGTGTTGATCACGCTAGATAACGCGCACTCTCCCAGAAACTGTAACAAACGTCCGCCCAGAATAGTTGCAGTATAAACCACAGGTGGGCTCTGTGGGTGTTGAAAAAACACAAATGTGTCTGGGAAGGCGTCTGCAATGGGGATTAGCTAGCTGTATCCTTGATTCGAGTGGCTGCGCCATTTTACATTTTACCTCTCAAGTCGCCGTTCTATTTAGGTATATATATATATATATATATATATATATATATATATATATATATATATATATATATATATATATATATGCATATTTTAAATACCACACCAGTTTAAAACATAGGCAGTCACGAACATCCACATATTCTTTTCCTTTTCTTTATATACGACCCATCGATAAAGATGCTGGAAAAAATGATAGTTTTCTTTTACCGCTCCAGTAAGGACCTGAACCCACCTACTAAGCTCTATTTTTTACAAGAACCCGATCAGAGACAAAATGGTGTTCTACTGCCATGTCTGTGCTGAAGTTGCACGTTTATCACTTACAAGTTTTCGTGTACTTGTAGGTAATGTATTATTTGCCACTCTACAACACATTTGCCCCAAACAAAACGTCGTAAGCCACTCGCTCTTCTAGCGCTATATCTGTGACAGATGGTCTAAAGAAATACACTCTTTAGTTCCACCAATTCAGACCTTCTTAGCTAAGACCCACCATATCACGTACAATGGAACGAACCCTTCGTATTTCATTTCTAACAAGGAAGTTCCACCCGATTCACTACAATCCGAACGTCTTGAAGTTTTGGCTTTTACCGGTTATATTCTCTAAATATTAACTACATTTTTTGTCTTTGTTATCTTATTCAAAATCCTCATTCAGTAACCCCTTGTCTTGAGTGACTCCTGGGCCTTGCATTGGGTGAAAATTACTAAAACAAAATCTGACAGTTGCTATGGCACCTTGGGCAAATAGCGGAATGTTTCCCTTTGAAAAAAAAAATGAGAAAGAGAGATAAAAGAAAGTACGATAAAATATGTTTAAAAAAGTAAATGAAGAATTTTATTGTGAAATTAAGATAAAAGTCAAATGTGTGAGAGAAAAAGAAGATAGAAAGAAAGAAAAGGGAAGAAAAACAGGTGGAAAGACAATGTAAAGAAAGAAAGAAGGAAAGAAAAATATTATGGCGTTGAAGAAAAAAAATGAAGGAATAAATTGTGAAATTGAATGTGAAAGAAAGAAAGAAAGAAAGAAAGAAAGAAAGAAAGAAAAATATATGAAAAAGAAAGGAAGAAAAGATATAATGGGGTTGAAGAAAGAAAACGGAGAAATAAATTGTAAAAATGAATGTGAAAGAAAGAAAGAAAGAAAGAAAGAAAAAAAGAAAGAAAAAGAAAGAAAGAAAAAGAAATGAAAAAGAAAGAAAGAAAAGATATAATGGGGTCGAAGAAAGAAAATGAAGAAATTTTGAAATGAAATCAAATGTGAATGAAAGAAATAAAGAAAGAAAAAGAAAGAAAAAGAAAAAGAAAGAAAAAGAAAGAAAAAGAAAAAGAAAGAAAAAAGAAAGAAAGAAAAAAGAAAGAAAGAAAAAGAAATCATGTATCATAATATATGTGTTCTGATTTATATGTGTGACTGTTTTTTATGTCTTTGAATGCTTTTATTTATATGAGTGTATGTATTAATTTGTGCATGTGCATTTGTTTTTTGACTGCTGTCGCCGTTTTTGTGTGAGACGATTGCCGTGCACAGAACAGCAGCACGCTTACGAATGATTATTGTCTTCTTTCAGGGACAACGTCAGCAAAAGCATTGTTCTTTCCTTGCCCAATATTCGTGTCAGCATCTCTAATAATAGAAGCCTGCATAGTCGATCAAGAAATTAAGAAGGAAGAAAGAATATGAGAGATAGAAAAGGAGATTTTGTATGTGTGGTTGTTAGCGCGTGAATATGAATTAGACAAGATTGGAAAATAATGTGTGTGTGTGTGTGCGTGCGTGAGAGAGAGAGAGAGAGAGAGAGAGAGAGGCAGGCATAAAAAAAAATTCAAAGAAGAAAATATAGTGTTTAGAAAGGAAAGAGCAATTGAATTATGGGATATCAGACGTTTGAGTGGGGAAAGAGAAAAAACAGATAGAGAGGGGGGCATTTGTCAGCAGGGATAAAGAGTGAAATGAATGGCGATGTTGGAATTTAGTTGAAACGGGCTTTTTACAATTATTTACAAACGTCCATTTTTTTTTCGTCATCAGTTACACCTTGTATTGTTTTCTTTTTTTTCAGTCGACGTTAAAAATATTTTTTTATTGTTTATTCGTTTACACATTCTTTTTCTTATATTCGTTTGATTTCGCAATTTTTATTGCATTTTTCACATTCGTTCATTGGAAGTTTCCTAAATGTTCATATTCTCCTACAATTCTTTCTTTCTTTCTTTCTTTCTTTCTTTCTTTTCTTCCTTTTTTTCTTTCTTTCACATTTGATTTTAATTAATTGCACAGTATTTTCATTCATTTTCTTTTTCTTTCTTTTTCTTTATTTATTACTTTTTTCTTTCTTTCTTTCTTTCTAATTTCTCTTCATTTTCTTTCTTTAACTTCGTTATATCCTTTTCTTTCTTTCATTATCTTTCATTAGAAGTATATAGATTTTTTCTAACATTTCCTTATTCTTACTTTCATTATTATTTATATTACCCTCTTTCTTTCTTTCTTATATTATTTAACTTTCATTATCATTTATATTTTCTTTCTTTCTAATTCACAATTTCTTTCTTTCTTTCTTTCTTTCTTTCTTTCTTTCTTTCTTTCTTTCTTTCTTTCTTTCTTTCTTTTATTTGGAACAATAAGGCGTATAGTTTGTCCCTAGCAACGCAAGTACACAATCACACCTCCTCTTTCCCACACAAGCTCGCACCAAAGTATGCACTTCTATGAAAAAGAAAAAAAAATGTCCTCCTCGACTTACAATGTTATTTACCATGACAAGAATGCGACAATCAGTCAGCAACTTTGTTCTTAAAGACTTGCTATAGTCAAATGCAACATTGATTCAGAGGTGAAAATCCAAATAATAAACAAATGCGAATGAACATTCTTTGACTTATGTATTATTTCAAAGTGGTTTATATATAAATTGAAATGAGTGCAGAAAGCTTTCTCTCTTTCTTTTTTCACTAAAATTCAACATGTTTATTTGCATGAGCGCTGACGTCAGATTTTAAAACGGCAATCGAAAAAAGAAAATTATTAACATTTTGCCGAAAAATAAAATCGACAGTTTCGATTTACTCTACCGAAAATGAATTAGCTGAAAACTGACTATATATATATATATATATATATATATATATATATATATATATATATATATGTATGTGTGTGTGTATGTGTCTGTGTCTGTGTGTAAAATTATATATATATATATATATATATACATATACATATATATATAGAGAGAGAAAGAGAGAGTGAGAGAGAGAGCGAGAGTTATATGAAATATAGAGAGATATATAGACAGTATATATATATTATTATTATTATTATATATATATATATATATATAAATATATTTATATATATATATATATATATATATATATATATATATATATATATATATATATATACACTGTCTGTCTGTCTCTCTCTCTCTATATATATATAGTTAGATATAGACAGTAAACAGAAATGAACACACAATATTACATTTTAAATTTGTTATATTTATAAGTGCTGAATATCGAGATAAAATGCTTCTAGATATAAATTGTGTGCACATAGGAATTAACTCTATGGTTACTGTTTTTCCCGCCTCAAATGATCACGCATGCGCGCACACACACACACACACAAACATATATACATATATATGTTTGTGTGTGTGTGCGTGTGTGTGTGAGTACGTGTGTATATGTTGGTTTAAAAAGAGAACACCTGCTTTTCACATAAAATATTCTCATAAAAGTTTTAACATCTTTTGAATCACCTGTTGAAGATTGCAAAGGACTTGTTGACATGGATGTTGAACAGGCGGAGACTGTTTGGAATAGTAATATCAGTTCTGCTTTTCTAAAAAAGGTACACCTGTCGAAGTGTTAGCATTTGAAATCATCTACTGCATATACTGGAACAGAAAGGTCAAAAGAAAACAGACACCTGTATTTTCAAGTAATCTCAACCATTCAAGAATACTTGATAATAGCAAAATAATATATAATTGAATAGAATAGAATATGCAAAATAAATAAATAAATTTGGTTGAGTTGACCTTTGCTGTTTTTAATTTTTTTTTCTGTTTTAATCATTGAGCTTATTAGATTTGCTATCTTCTCTTGTGACGTATATCAGGTCGCAGCCAAAATATAGAAGCTAATAATTTTGTGATGAAGAAGAGGTACAATTTTTTTTTTATCTGTTTCATAGGCTATGTGTTATTTCGTTGGTCGTGTTTGATTTTCATCCAAGCCGCTGATTTTTCATTTCGTCACGTTATCGATGCATGTCTTTAAATGCAATAAATATGGCCATATACAGTTGGAAGGTTCCGGTTTCACTTCGGTCAGTTCTACGATGTCGTTCCATCAACGCTTTCCGCACACACGTTTTTAGGTAGATAGGTTTCTCAAGTTCATTAACTCTGGTCTCTCTTTCCACTAGTGATGGGGGTTTTCTTCCTAACCTTTTGTTTGAAGTAGTGTGGAATGTCAGTATCTTGATTATGCCATGATTTTCACTTCGAGTTACAAGATAAAGAAAGAAAGAATGAAAAAGAAGAGTCGTTAATATTCTTATGTGTTTTAAACATCCGCTTCCGTGAAATAGAAAACACTGTCAATTTTTAATCTTTTCATTTGTACCCTCTTCTTTAAAAATGGCTGTATTCATATCTAAGATTGTTATTGCAATATGTTTCTAATGTTGTGATGCTCAAATAGTTAACGATGAAATAGGGGAAATTCAATGGGTATTTTATAGTGATAGAATTTGCAGGGAGCTTATTCAATCATTAACATAAAAATTATGATTCTAAAATAGTAAAAACGTGAAATTTTTACGGTTATTTCTACCCATCTATCACCCTTTTGGCCTCCTACTGCTATCCATTTTAATTGTTGCCGCTGTTGTAAGTCCTCAAGTGATGTGATTCCTCTTATTTGGTACAGTCCTTTCTTTGCAATTCTGTAGCGCCATTCCACAAAGTTCGAAGAAGTGTAGTCCTCGCTAAGACATAACAGGTTTCATTCGCTCGAAACTATTTTAATCATTGATCTGAGAAAGAGGTCGTATACAGCTTAACCGTTTATATTAGAGTTTGGTGCCATGCATGGCGTCCAAATGAAAGTCTTGATCTAACGAGGCTATTTAAGAACATGATTCTAAATTCTGTCGTAATTTGCGTTGTTCGGTGAAATCACCCCTAGCACAGCCTATTGTAATACTGTAGTCAGACTGAACAAACTACAGAATTACAATGGCTTGCCACACGGATTTTAATAAAAGAGAAGAAATATATTTATGGGTCAAAAGATATTTAATTGATTGGAGTTCTTCTAATAAGATATTTTTCTTTGAAGTTTAGTTAATTGAGTTTAAGAATTGAACTAAAAATTGCTCTTTTAATGAATTTTCAATTGCAGTACGAACAAATGGATAACAAATTCCTTTCCGATTAACTGGAGACAAGAATTGTAACTGGCATTATTTGTTTATTTGTTTTTAGACAACAGGCGTATTCTTTAAATCTATTTAAAAATATACATCTGCTAAGGCATTCGCCCTTGCGGCAAAGGAAAAAGTCAAAAGGAGAATTCTCTTTATTAAAAGTCTTCTCTGGTAGACGTATTTTTACAATGTTTAACAAAAACCAGTGATGTCTACTCAAACACGTGTGTCTAGTAAAAATAACGTTTAAAGAAATAATGCCTGATTATAAGTTAACTCGTTAGTAATTATCATTTTTATTTTATATATATATATATATATATATATATATATATATATATAAAGCATTAAAAGTGACCTTTAATTGGCAAACTCTATTCTACTTTTAATTGCTTTTTCTTTCTTCCTTTTTAGCTCATAGTATGTTACTGTAGAATTGCATTTAGCCGTTCTGAGTTAGAAATCTCTTTCTTGCCTTTACTGTTCCCATGGGAAATTGGATGAAACAAAAATAACCAGTAATAAATCTTTAGAAATTGCCTTTGGATAAATCACCTTTATTTTAGTGCTCCGAGGAGAATTGCTGTCACATGACTTTCAATAATATCCACCAGAGACGTCTGTTAAAAAAACTACTAGCAATAATAATGTTCGTTTTAGTACTCATTCAACGGTTAATGATAGAAGGACAAGGAATAATATTAATAATACAGATTAGACAATTCGGACAGAATAGATTCCCAATTCGTCTGTGACGTTTGTGTCCCATTCTCCACTACAAATTTCCTGTTATTTATTCATCTTTGAAGTTAGCTTTGAAGGCACGGTCGTCTGCTTTCTACTCTCTGCTGCGTAGGCTACAACAAGGAATGGGCCGTTATCTCTTTTTCTTTTTTATTGCTATAATTTTTATTTCAGCTTCTCTTTTCTATAAA